AGGCCTTCAAGGAGATGGATTAATACGGTGGCTGCGATGATGGGCTCAAGTATAGCAGGGATTGTGGGGCTGGTGCGGGATCGGGCAGTGTTTCATTCTGCTGTGCATGGAGTCGCTATGAGTCAGAAACAACTCGACGGCACTTAACAACAACAAAAATGATCCTATACATAGAGATGATGGCTAATTAATTTGAACACAATTTTTTCTCCTTCCTGTATTTTAGTTCCTAAAAATGAAAGAACACAGTAAGTGTTGATTTCTACCATACGTAATTTTAACTTATGAAGTGAGTCTACAGATTTGCAAATAACCCCACAATGTAAGGCCACACAAATTTAATGTTCTGAATCATCAAATTCTTAGTGAAATAAATAATAATTCCTAATATCAAGAAACAAATCTAAAATTGTTAGTAAGCAGATGTGAAGAGTTCTGCACTGATCCATGGTACACATGAATTCATGTTATAATATGCCAGAATATGAAGGACTTTGCTTTAAGATCCCAGTTCACACTCAAGTTGCCTAATTTTCCCCCAGACAGTTAGTATTTATTTCTTCATTTATCTGAAGAGGACATATCTGTCTTCCAGGATTCCTGGAAGGTGAGTTATTTCTCATACACATTTTTAACCAATCCCCCTTTAAGCCCAAGGCCCACTTCCACCCTCTATGCTTTTGGGAGCTGCAGGACAGACCAACTCCCTCATTATCTAAAGTTTCCTCTACACATACCAGGATTCTCCTGTCACTAATCCTCCATCTTCTTTCCAGCTTTTGGAAGTGGGTTAATATATCTCATTTATTGGTGGCTCTCTCTGATTCTTCTTTTTCTTTTTGCTATAATTGTGCTATGTTTATTCATATGTTTTGCAGCTTTTTGATTGTATTAAATATGTATGCAATAAAATCATGTGCCATTTCAACATTCTTTACATGTATAATTAAGTGACATTAGTTATGTTTATTATAAAAGGGAGCTCTGGTGCGTAGTGCCTAAGGCATTTGACTATTAACCAGAAGGCTGGCGGTTCAAACCCACCAGCCCCTCCTCGGAAGGCAGATTGGGCAATCTACCTCTGGAGAGATACCACCTCGGAAACCCAAGGAGGGGTTGCTATGAGTCAGATTCGACTCCATGGCAGTGAGTTTGTTTTTTTTCGGTGTTGTTACACAAAAAATCAAACCTACTGCCATCAAGTCAACTCCAACTCATAGTGACTGCAGGACAGAGAAGAATTGCCCCATAGGATTTCCAAAGCTGTAAAACTTTACAGAAGCAGACTGCATCATCTTTCTCCCACGGAGTGGCTGGTGGATTTGAGTCGCTGACCTTTTCGTTAGCAGCTGAGTACTTAAACAACTGTGCCACTACAATTCTTATCATGTTTGCATCTTATATCATTTCAATGATATGTGAAGAGAGAGAGAAGCTAAAGTCACGCACTTGAATATACTTAAAAAAAAAAAAAAACTCACTGCCACTGAGTTGATATTGACTCACAGTGACTACCATTGGGTTTCCAAGGTGGTAAATCTTTATGGAAGTAGATTGCCTAGTCTTCCTTCTGTGGAGTGCTAGTGGGTTTGAACTGCCAACCTTCTGGTTAGCAGTCAAATTCCTTAGGCACCACACCACCAGAGCTCCTTTGAATATACTTAAGATATGTGTATATCTTAAATAGGAAGCAATCTGGTCACTTCAAATTTCAATAGTCTTGGTTTTAAGAAAATTAGACAAAGTACCTGAGAATTATAAGGGTCAATAAACTAGGAAGAAATAGAATCTGAATATTATGTAACCTACATTCTCATGCTAGAGTCTTAGATTTTCACTTGTTTGACAATAGCAAACTATCATACCCACTGCATAAAGAAGAACTATTCTTGAATGACAAGTGGCAAGAATGTTCTGAAGCATAGATTCAGACAAGTCCCATTTTTATTGTATGCTCATTCATATTTAATGCATGGCTATGAAACATAAAGGACACGGAATTCACCTGAAAAAAGAAAGGCAGTAAAAGATGGAAATAAATGTATCCTGGTCTGTTGTTGGTAGGTCCTGTCAGGTTGGTTTCAGCACACAGAGACCTATGTACAACAGACTGAAACACTGCCTGGTCCTGTGCCATCTTCACAATTGTTGCTGTTTGCACCCATGGTTGCAGCCACTGTATCACTCCATCTTGTTGAGAGTCTTCCGCTTTTTTGCTGACCCTCTACTTGACCAATGGATAAGGAAGACTGAGGTTTAATAGATGCATTTGAATTATGGTGTTGGTGAAGAATATTGAATATACCATAGACTTCCGGAAGAACAAACAAATCTATCTTGCAAGAAGTACAGTGAGAATATTCTTCAGAAGCAAGCATGGCAAGACTTTATCTCATGTACTTTGGATGTATTATCAGAAGCACTAGACCCTTAAAAAAGGATATCATACGTGGTAAAGTAAGTGAGGTCTAAAATCAAGGAATTTGGGCAGGAATAGATTTCAGACGATAATCTAGTCCCACTTTTTAATTTTCCAGAAGAGAGTTTCTGTGACTAGAACCAGTGTCCTTTGCTAACTAAAAGAAACAACTACTCCTAGCAAAAATGATTAGAGCTTAGTGTGAGTAACACATTGTCTTTTAATCATTAAAGATGAGGTTCAACTCCATGAGGACTGAGTTATCATAAATAAAACTGAGATATGCCCACATAATATTTATACTTACTCATTACCCCAGTCCAGGCGCACAGTGATATGCCGTTTAACTTCCCGCACCTGATCCTGAGTCAGGTGACCTGATAGCAGCTGCCTTCGCAGGTCGATAAGTTCATTCATCACATGGCGTAGTTTGTAGAAAAGATCTACTTTGTGTTTCTGTAGGACATTTATGGAGTTGGGTGAAATAAAAAAGAGATATGGAAAGGGAATGAAAGAGAGAGAAAAATAATCAAAATATGAAAAGTGTTTATTTATTTGAGTCTCTAAAAGGCAGCAATGTAAAGAGGATCTTATTTTGAAATCTTAAAGCCCTCAGTTCCTACTACTTAAAAATCTCTTCTTACGACACCTAACAAACAACATAATTGATTGGGATCATGCACAGTGCCATTTGTTTATCTGCACTTTAACTCATTCTGGACTGTTCATTTTTCAGTAAATCAAAGTTACTAAAATTAATCAGAATAGAAAGTTACACAGGAGCCAAGTGCTGCTCTTTTCTGACAGTAGTTACCAGGCATGTAACAGCAAAGATTTAAAATATCCTGCAGTGTCTCCACCTTTCCCAGGAGAAATACTCAAGGCAGAAGAGGAGTAGGGAGAATCATTTGCCTGTTTTGAAGGAACTAAGGTTTCAATATAAAGCTAGTCTCTGGAATAAGATTCACTCCTAGTTTCCAGGCCTCATTAAGCTTTCTAATTAGATTTTCTAAATGATACGCGTGTCCCTAGTGTCATAGATTTCTACCCTTTTCAGTTTAATAAAAGGTGTCACCTTTATAAGAATTAAGTAGAAACACATAATGAACTTAAATATGGACATCATACTGGTTTTAATCTTACAAGTAAAAAAATTAAGTGCCATGAGAGTAGATACTTGAGCAAAACGATGTACTTAAGAATATAGATTTAAAAACTAAAGTCCTGTCTGCTCACAAGTGAATTCTTGATTTCGGAATCTTTCTGATTCTATTCTGTTACAGAGAAGCAAAATTCTGAACAGTAATAAAAATTCTTGGAATGTAACCTATATATAAAGAATGCTTTTAAAGACAGAAATCTGTACTGTAGTCTTAACACAATCTCCATCTGAGATTTTCCCTAGAAAGATACCAACACAAGTTTGATTCAGGTAACTATAAATAAAATTAATTATAAAGCAAGTTACTAAACAATAGAAGCAGCTAAAATTTTTAGGTGATAGTGATCTCTCTCTTTTTAAAAAAAAAAAAAACAAAACTGTGCTTTGGGTGCAAATTTACAAAGCAGATTTGTTTTATATTCAACAGTTCATGCACATTTGCTTTCAGGATCCTGATTACAATCTCCAACCATAAAAAAGTGTCCTCCCGCTCCTCCCTATGACTACCCCCTCCCTGTGCCCTTCTTATCTATGCATTTCTGCCTGTCCAGCTTTCCTTCTATGTGAATGCTCCACTCTGCTTTCTCACGGCTTATTGATCTAAGGGGTACATCTCCCTAGGGTAGATGGGTGCTTCTCCCTGCAGTAGATGTATGTAGGTCTCTCTACTGTTGGGCTGAGAGCCAATCTTAGGTGGTAGTGATTATATTAAAATAGTAGGAGGATCAATATTACTTGTTGTTGTTATGTGCCGTCGAGTCAAACCCGACTCATAGCGACCCCTCCTTGGGTTTCCGAGGCAGTATCACTACGGAAGTAGGATTGCCCAACCTTCCTCCCGAGGAGTGGCTGGTGGGTTTGAACCGCCAGCCATCTGGTTAGCAGGCAAGTGTCTTAGCCACTATGTAATATTACTTAGAAATCATCTATTAGACTTTTAAAGGCCCATTTTTTAAAAGGAATTATTTTTAATTAGTAAGGCTTAAGAATCATTCACTCTAACTACATCACTTTCAAATAGTTTGCTGTTCTTTCTTTAGTCAATAAAAAGATAAAGAAAAGTTAAGCACCTTGAAGGTATACAATGCTACTGGAACTTACAGATTTCCTGCCAGCTCAAAAGGCAGCAAGGTCAAAGCAAATTGCATCATCTAGAAAACTGAGATCCTGAACACAGGCAATGAAGGTAATGTGTATTCAGCACATACATTTATTTATTATTGATAAAACAGAACCATCTGTCTAAGTTTAAAATAGAAAGTTTAATGGTAATAATTATTTCCCTTATCAAAACACACACAATAATCAACTGCGTACATATAAAATCATTCATTCATTCACTCAATTAACATATACTTATGGAGAAACTACTGTGGGCTGTCACTCTGTCCCAGCTCTCATTGTGCTTTTATTCTAGATAGCAGAGACAGATCACAGACAAATAATTAGCAATGGTAGAGAGTTCGAAAAGAAAAATTAAAGCCGTATGTCAAGTCCTTAAAAAGTTGGAATTAGAAATACCATTTGATCCAGCAATCCCATTACTAGATATATATCCTAAAGAAGTAAGAGTCAGGACAAGAACAGATACATGCACACCCATGTTCATTGCAGCACTATTTATAACAGCAAAGAGATGGACACAACCTAAGTGCCCATCAACAGAAGAATGGATAACCAAACTATGGTACCTACACACAAGGGAATACTATGCAACACTAAAGAATAATGTAGAATCTGCAAAATACCACATAACATGGATGAACTTGGAGGATATTATGCTGAATGAAATAAGTCAATCACAGAAGGACAAGTATTAATTCATTATTGTAAAAAGTCGAGGAAAGGTTTATATATGGAAAGAAGCTTTCTTTGCTGGTGACCAGGGATGGGAGGGAAACACTACTAGATAGGTAGAGATAAGTATTGATTTGGGTGAAGGGAAGGGAAATGTACCAAAAGTAAATGATCAATACAGTGGCACTGAGGAAGAGAAAGAGGTATGTGGAGGGTGGGGGAAAAAAAAAGAAAAGAAAAAAATAAATATTAAAGCAGAATAAAGGGATAATGAGTGACTAAGGGTGGGTTGGTGAGTAGGGAAAGGTACACTTTAGGTAGAATGGTTAGGAAAAGGTTTTTCTGACAGCCAATCTATGAATATAGACATGAGTGAAGTGAAGCAGTGACATTTAGGAAAACTGGGGAAGTTTTACAGGGATAAGAAACAGAAAGCGCAAAGACCTTACTTAACGTAGAAGTGGACCTGGCATATTCAAGAAGATCTGGAAGATCAGGACACCTGAAGCAAAGTGGACAAGAGGGAGAGTGATGACAATGCAGTCAGAGAGGCAAAAGGAACCAGATTTAGGCAGACTTTTGTAGGTCATGTTATTAAGAGCTTTGGCTTTTATTCTAAGCAATATGGAAAGCCACCGGAGAACTTGGAGCAAAAGAGTGGCATGATACGACAAGTCTTTAAAGTACCACTCTGGTGCTCTGTTGAGAATAAATCATGAAAAGTCAAAAGAAGCAGCAGGAATTTCATTCAGGAGACTATTTATTGCATCAATCCACAGGATGAAGCTTGGGCAAAGTAAAGAATGGTGAAGGAAAGAAGGCCTTGACATGTTTTGCAGACAGAGCTGCCAGGATGTGCTGACGGATGAGATGTGAGATGTGAAACGGAGTCATGGAACACCCTTATATTTTGGACTGAGGAGCAGGTCTAGAAGAGGAAAACAAAGTAAGGTTTTAGATAAACTACATTTAAGATTAAATCCCAACATTTAGAGGTCAGGAAGTTAAGAAATATTCGGCAGAAGAAACTAAAAAAGAATAAGCAGTGAAGTGAGAGGAAAAAGCAGTAGAGTGTAGTGACATGCAAGTCATGTGAAAAGAGTTTTAATGAGAATTTTGTCAAACATACCGAGAGATTAAATAAAATATGGGCTGATAGTTGCCTGCTGGATTTAGTATTGTGGTGCCCATCAATGACCACTACAAGAGCAGTTTTTTTTTTTTTCCTTTTTTTTTTTAATTAGGATTTGGGTGAAGATTTACAGAGTAAATTCACTTTTCATACAGCAGTTCACATATACTTTGTCTCATGTCATTGACCAAAATTTACAATGCAGCAGCTCCCCTCCCACTTCCTCCCCATAGTTACCTCCTCCCAGTGTCCATCCCTTCATACTCTTCTGCACCCTGAGCTATCTCCCTGTGCATAAGCAGCCCTTCCTTCTCCCATGATTGTTCTCTCCAGGGCGTGTGTCTACTTGAGGTAAATGTTTTAACTCACATGCCTGTACTTTGTTTGGCTGGAAACCACAGTTGTGGGTTTAATTCCAGACCTGAAGGGCAACTAGGGGCCATAGTCTCAGTGGTTACACCAGGCTCCATTGGACCAGCAAACCTGGTCCCCATTACAAGAGCAGTTTTGATGGAAAGGCTAGAAGTGGTTTCAAAAGAGAATGGTAGGGGAGGAAGTGGAGGCAGAGCATAAACAACTCATTAAAAATTTTACAGAAACTGGAAGCAGAGAAATATGGTAGCAGGAAAGGGGTGTGGGGTCTTGGACTTTTTTTTTTTTTTTTTTAAACAGGACAAAATTTCAGGTTATTTGTATACTACAGGGAATGATTTAGGAAAAAGGAAAAATTTGATGAAGCAGGTGTTAAATCTCTGTGTCAGTAAGAAGTGATAGGATCCAGGGTATAAGGAGAGGAGTTGGCTTTAGATAAGAGCTTAGGTACTTTATGTATTGTCATAGAGAGGAAAGGCATAAAATATAGATAATGATATGGATGATGACACAAATAGTGGGGGGATTTGTGAAAAAGGACTTAATTTTTCTTCTGACTGCTTTATTCTCAGGGAAATAAAAAGCAAGGTCAACAGTTCAGAGTGAGTGTGGTGGGAGGAGGTATTGGAAGTTTGTGAATAGAGAAGATATAAAACAATTTGTTAGGGAGTGGTAAGATGAATAAATTGACAAGAGAAAGGTAATTCAATTGCCAGATATTTTTGAGATTTGTGAACACTAATTGAAAGGGAGGTTGTGTGGGGTCTTTTCCTAGCCAACTAAAAAGAGGTATACTGATACTGAAGTATTACATGTGTACATATATAAGTAAGTATGTTTATATTTATGCATATGCACATGAATAAATACACACATATGTATATAATGTCTATATAGCACATATATGCACATAAGCACATACAATAACTATACAAGAATATACTAATATAGTCCTTTAAGGCATTGTTCATGATCATTTATTTTTATCAGGAG